TGAAAAAAAAAATATTTTTTCAAATAATTGACAGAAATATTGCAGATGAATTCAAAAATAGGAAATTAGAAGACCATTTTTCATGTCTTGGAAAAATACATCATTTAATATTATAATTAAAAAAGATAATGCCAAAAAAAATTAAATCATATATTGGAAAAATGTAAAAATAAGATTTTTTTCCAATATTAATTTAATAAAGAACATAAATGTAACCTTTCACTTTGGCCACTCTTGGCTGTTCTAATGGTAAGTCTTCTTCATAATATTCATCGATATATTGACTAAAATATTCATTTAATTCAGCAACTTTCTTTCGCACTGCATCAATTTCACCTTTTTTTGACTGTTCGCAAGCTTTTGCACTGGCTTTCTGTATTCGATCTTGAAATTTTGGTGAATCCTCCGGAACTGTAGAACTAACTGATGAATGGTCAGAAGAAAAATATCGGAAATTACAAGCCAAATAGTTAAAAGGGAATGGACGATTATAGAATGGTCTCCAATTGCTCATTAGTAGCATCTTAGATGGAAAAAAATTCTTAAGAAATGATCGACGAATGAATGAAGTTTGAGACAACATCCTATGAATTAACAGCCAATTCCGCGATGGGATTTGCATGGATGATAACTTTCCGAATTCGTTGTTCAATAACTGGCCGATATTTAGCGTCAACCTTGACATTTTCAAGTTCATCCAAAACGTCAAACCCATCAATAACTCTAAAAACTTCAAAATTTCAAAATTTAAACTTTCCGTATTCTTGCAAAAGTGCTTCAAAAAATATTTAATAAATTCGTGAAAAATCGGGACATTTAAATTCATAATTTAAGAAAAATATAAATATTATATTAAGAATTCTAATAGGTTATAACTATCGCCCTATGAAGAACTTATATCAGACAGATTTTACCAGATAGAAACTTTACCAGATATTCATGCTGTGATGCAGATGAATCGCCAGCATCACCTGGATTTTAAATGCTAAGTTTATTTCTACAAGCAGTAGAACACGATTATCAGCGCTCAGAAATGAGAGCGACAACCCACTGAGAAATCTACCAAAAGATATCTAAAAAGGATTTAACGAAAATTTACGACAGAATATGACCCGAACAACTTTTGAATATCTTTACGCGAAGACTGAAAAATTTGAACTGAAGAGCGTATGAAGCATAATGATTTGATGAAATCCCAGATTTGTGGTGTACGGATATAAAAATATTACAATAAATAAATAAAATGAATCTAACCGCCCAAAAATAGTGTATTTTAAATCCAACGACGGATGTTTTGCGTACGTAATAAAAAACTGCGATCTGCTTGTATTAGGGCCGTTCCCGGCCATAGACACAACGCCTCGCTCACTATGCTGCAAATATTGCAAAAATCAAAATAAAACTGAGGTTATTGCGAAAAAAAATAAAGAAATGCGAATTCAAGATTCAAATAAATAAAAGAATGCCCGAAATTGAACCTTCAACGAAGAGTGAAATTCGTCTTCGATAGGTGTGCCCCAAATACTATTACCACCTTTGCCAGTTCCGGTTGGATCACCGGTTTGTACCATAAAACTTTTGATATTTCGATGGAAAATATTGTTATTATAATATCCACTAGCACAAAGAGCCAAAAAGTTCTGCAAAATTTGAAAAATTCAACTGAAACATCTGATATTATTGCTAAACTGAAACATCTGACAAAATTGCTAAAATTTAATTTATCGTCAAGAATTCAGTCCCATACAAGTCATATAATTAAAGACATACAATTCTAAAATAAAAAACAGCGATCATTTTCACATATAATTCATTTAAATAATTTTAATTGGATTATTCATAATTATTACATTTACTATAATTTTCTTTGATAAAAAATTGATTAAATCGGAATAAAACTTTTCAATAAATCAAAAAATATTTGAAAGCTGAAGCTTTTATTTTAACAAATTCAAAAAAACATTGTCATCTAATAAAATGTCTATTCGTTAAGCAATCTCACCTCGCACGTTTTTGGACACAAATCGCAATAAAGTTCAATCTTTATATCTCCAAGTGTGGTTTGTAAGGTGACTGACATAAAGCAGTTTCAATTTTCAAGCCTTCAAAATAAAAAAAGAAGTGCTTTCCAAATGAATGTGAATGATTATTACGTATTATCGATCCAATAGTAAAAATGATTCTAAATCAATCACTACCAAATTGAATCCATTCACAATTCGATCATTCAAATCAAATGAAACTTCTCAACGACCTAAAACAATGATCTCACCATGAACTATGCAAACTCCATCGATAAAAATCAATTATTTTAATTCAGCCAAAAGGCAAAAAAGCTGTAAACTAGCAAATAACTAATCACCCAACCGATTACCTGAATAACTAATTCCTCGTTAAATAACCCTAATTAAAATAAAGAAAAAAAAAGAAATGTTAAAAATAAAATATGAAATATCAAAAATAAAAACAATTAAAAATACTTTCAAATAAAAAAATGAAACAAAAAAATTGAAATAACTAAATTGAACCTAAAAACGAACGAAGTTCAAAGCAAAAACTCATTTGCTTAATCAATTGATCAACAAAAATATAAGCGAAAAAGAGGAAAAAATCTACAAAAGCCAAATCAAAAAAAGGAATGACCGTTGGGCAAAATCCCATAGGCAAGTTTCCTTTATTCCGGAATTTTGTATGAAAAAAAGAACTTCTCATTATTCCATTGCTTTTTCCATCGTAGATTTTCGCCATGTCTTTTTCAACAATTCTCAAATTTTCGCTTTTTCCATTTTCTTATTTTTCTTTTTTTTTTTTTAAATTATTAAATTAGAGAATTCTCCACTGCAAATGCTCTCCTCCTTCTACTTTTTCTTTTCTTCTTTTAACCAGCATTTTCCATTTTCATTTGGCTGTCTTGATTGGCTACTAAGCTGAGATTTCAATTCGCCAATCATCGCTCCTATGAATGAAAATTTGAGTAGATTGGAATCGGTCGCCTAAACCCTTTGAGAAAGGCTTTAGCTCTGCTGACGTTGTTTCTTGCCGAACGTAGATTACAACTAGCAATTCTTCCGAAATCCATAAATCTAAAATATCAGCCTAAACCACCTCACAGCCTGAATTCAAGCCTAACGCCTAAATTTAAAGTTAATTTTAAGAATACTAATCTGAAAACGAATGCTCTAATAATCAGTCGCGACTTCAGATTTCACAATTTCCTTCTAATATTTACGGTTGCAGCCACTACGTTTTTTCACGGCCGTCAATTATTATAAATCGTAAGTGTGTAGCGCCTATTATTGCTAATTAAGTTACCTCCGCTTAAAAACTGTAGAAATTTAGTGTGGTTAAAAATTTTTTGCCAAATTTTCACTTGTTAATAGGCAACAGAATTCGCTAAGTACCACTGATAACAGATTTATTCGAAGAAAGAATAGGAATGATTAAATGGAATACATATTGATAGAACCAATTTCGTATATTGTTAATTCTTAAAAATGCGATATCTGATTGGATAGCCAAGTGGTACTTCTCTGCGATTTTTTAAGCCTAAATTCAGTGCCTTTCGCTTGGCGGAAATAAATTTTAGAAATTTTTAGAAATTTATTTTTATAAATTTTATAAATAAATAATTTGCAAACCAATATATTTGCAAATCAAAATTTATATCGCAAAACTTTTTTATATGAATATTAATTGTTAGAATGAATCTTTAAATAATTTTTGCCTTAATATATAATACGTCGATAGTCTCAGGCTTGGTCCCCCCCCCCCCAAACATTTTATAGGCTTAGGATCGGTAAACATTTATAGGCTTAGGCTTGGTAAATTTATAATATTTGTTATTTTTTCAGCAATTTTTTTGTTTTTGCTTTTCGTTAATATCAAACAAATGATTTATGCTAACTTTTCAAACAAAAATTTTTGAAGAATTTTTAAAAAAATCAATTATTTGAAAATGTCCGGATGGTCCTAGGGATCCTACGGACTCCATATGTAGTCCTTACAGCTAGCTAGCAATGAGGAAAATGGTGAGTGTAACTAGAGGAAACGCAGCTTAATTAATAGATGAAATAAGCAAAAGAAACAATAGAATAATAAGAATGAAATTTTTTATAAAGAAATTATAGAAAATTTGAAATCCCATAATATGAAATCCTTCAAAATTTCTGTTGAATTTTAATGAGGCATGAATTTTATTTTGATGCTCTTTCTGTTATCAGATTTATCAGACTTATCAGACCTTATCAGAATAATTAAAAACCAGTTAAAATTTGATTATTATTTAATAAATAACATGTTTTTGTTGATATTTATTATTTGCTATTGGTTATTATTTGCTATTTGTGTGTAATAATTACATAAGCGAGCAAATAGCGAATTAATGAGATTCAAGCTATTAATGAAAAAGTTGGGAAATTTTTTTAAAACGAAATATGAGACGTTAAAAATCTAAAATTTAGTTTTTTTAAAGAACTGATTCGAAAACTCCGCTCATAAACTGCTTAGCAAAAGGCTCGCAAGGTCGTAGCCAATGGGGCTATGCAAACCGGCCAGAAGTAGTGCAACTAGTGGAACCTAGTGGAACTTTAATGCGATAAATAAGTTTTAATTTTGCTTTATTCATTAGATGTTGAATGCCTCTCGATTTTTTCATTTTTAATTAAAGCTTTCATGTACAAAAATTTGATTCATTATTATTAACATTATTGTTACTGTTTATTATAAACTTGAATATTGAATGAATTTGAATGAAGTAAAATATTACGTGTGTTGAGCAAACCAAATATAATTAATTATAAGAAGAATAATTATTTAAAATTTATAATAAAAATTTATTTTAAATTATTAAAATACAAAACAATTATTTGTATAAAAAAATTTATTACATAAAAAATAAAAATTTTAAATGATAAAAAAGCCAATGAAAAATTATACACTAATGATATCCATAAGCCATTCAATTGCCAATGTTAATTTCTAAAAATAATATACGAAAAGTGTTTTACTGACTGAATTTGCTGACAGCTTATTCCATTTAAATAAGGCTTATGCAGAGGGCGAATTGCTTCCATGGTTTATCCCCGTATGTGTCAGATTTCTGCGGTTTTAAAGCTATTTTCCGTGGAGGTAAAAAAAGTTAGGAATTTTTCTTGCTTTGTCATTTATATTTATTTATTATTTTTAAAATCACTTTAGAACGGGAAATTTGTAGTTTGCTTTCTCATATGATATTTGATTAATTTTTTGAAAGTTTATTTTTCTGGCTTTTTTGATTATCCATTATTTTTGCGTACTAATCTCAGTTCACAAGGCTGCTAAAATTTTCTTTTTGTTTGAGTGGATTAAGCTTAATTTTCATGGATAACTCAAGCAGCCTTGAAGTTGAGGAATTTCGACATGAAGGCAACCAGCATTCATTTTGGTGCAAAACGATATTTTAATGCGATTAAAAGCTTTACGAAATCATTGGTCTCCTAAATGCACTGTCGAATCGTGCTCAGGCGTACATCAGTGTCAAGCACTACGTTGATATACATCTTTCCTACTGCACGTTTCCCTATATTTCAACATAAAAATTATCGTTGCTTACATAATATACAATATCTTTATGGAATGAAATTTCAAGTGTGAGAATTGGCGTATTTTTGGAAAAAAATGGTTCTCACATAAAGATAATTAAATCTAAGGTAAGCCTGTTTCGTATTCGAGGCCAAAAGCTTCGAGTAAAGTTGTGTCGATGCGGAACGATCCTATAATTTTTAAAAATAATTATCCTTATTCTTTCAATTAAACACGGAATTCTTTCCAACTCATAAATTCATAATTCATTGGACCGGAATTTTCAAATTTTCAAACGCACCATAGTCTCCCCAGTATTTTCCAAAACTATTAATGGCCAGCCAGTGATGATTGTTGTTTTCATCTCGTCCCCAACCAATAAGACGAACCACATGCCAATAAATGATTCTTTCTTTAAGATTTTCTTGAGGATACGGGGAAAAAATTCCTAAAATTCAATTTAAGCATTGAATGTTCATCTTTGAAAATATTCATTTATTGAAATTAGAATTCAAAATTTGGCATATTCACTTATATTTTCTTTGTAACTCATTCTGTTTCATTAATTAATAACTTCAACCAGTCAAATCCTTTGATTCCCTTCGCACTTTATTCAGCATGCTGATCCACTTTTTGTAATCTTATAATTTATAAATGCAATAGTGGAAGCGCATTTTTTAATGTTTTTATAAGATTTTATAAGAATCAGTAAAGTATGACAAGAGAATTACTGGATCTGGAAGAGCTGAAACGGCAGGAGATAGGAGTGGCATAATAGGGCCTATTGGAGTCAAAGTGTTAATGTAAGACAATTTAAATTATTCCCAGATTTTGGCATACACATATGGATATCAAAGAAAATAAAGAGGGCTTTACAAGAAGCTCTATAACAGGAAGTTCTGAGGAACTCACTATGATGCCATGATGATTTCTCAAGTTGAGATAATTCATGGCAATTCAGTGCTACTCATGCTACTAATGAGATATGGCAAAATAGCAGGATTTGAACGATATTAGGGAAAATTGGAGAGGCATCGAGGGACTAGGGCGTATGATAGATTTCGGAGTAGTTGTCAAGAAAGGATTGGAAGGATATCTGCGAAGTGCAGCATATAACTAATGGGTCAGCATAAAGCGGAATTTTGACGGCTGCGAGGAATATCTGGATTTACAGAAAATTATTTAAGAGTATTGAAAAGAATTTTGACAAAATTAGACAAATTCTAGATAAAATAGATTTTTTCTGAACACATTCATAAATTATCAATCGTTACGACAAAGATGAATTGTGAGGATTGAAAGAATGGATAGAATATATATGAAACAAAATGGAGGTGGGCGACAACTGGATCTGCGAAAGATGAAGCGATAAAACGAGGTTTAAAATAATATTATCAAGTTAGCAAGAAGTTCAATTCATGTTCCCAATAGAACATGACAGGCAGAAGGGAATATCGAGGAGTTTCAACCATCAGACCAGAAATTTTGAAGTATTATTTTATAAATAGCATTAGTGCGGCTATGGCATTTTGGTACTCTAATATGCCATGATAGCACAGGCAGATTAATAAAGGCTAACGCGACGAATATTAATATCAAGGTTTAAGGAAATATTAAGGTTTAATAATCTGCTTTTAAAAGAAGAACAAGGTGGATGATTTTGATAGAGTATTAAAGAGGATGAAGTGTGGAATATTAAAAGAGATTCTAGGGAAATGGTATTTAAAGGAATGATAGTATAAGTAGGTCTAAGGTAACATTTTCGCGATATGGCAAGATTAAAGGATGTGCAAACGAAGTGGCTTCAATTAATTATAGGTATGGCATCGAATTGAGAGTCCTCCTATTCTAATACCAGAGAAACCAGTCAAAAAAGAAAGATAACAAGGTTGTATTACGAGATTTGATGGAGCATTAGATGAAAATAGAGAGGATTTTGAGAGAAGGTATTAGAGCAATAAGACTGGGCTTAGAAGTTCTGAAGAATTACATGGACTGTAGAAGAATTGAGAATTGAAAAGATAAATACTACTATAATGGGTCGAAATAAAGCAGATTCTTTCGGATTCAGATTTTAGAGCGTAATTGACCGGGCTTCTTAAAGGTGGAAGTACACTTTCTTTCATAAAATTCAGTCTATTTTTGATGAAACGGAAGTTTTCCTTCAGGTAAATGCATTCATCATGTCTGATCTGTCCGAATTTCATTTATTAACATATTTTGCCAGATAGTCTCACTGAAGGGAGAAATATAGATCGGCCCATAATATCATCCAGATTTTCAACTATATCTATTCACCTTAAAGGCAAGGAATGGACCTATCGTGAGTTGATCTTATTCGAAACAGTATGCCACATGAAGTACCACTCTGAATCCTGCTTCTAACATCCTATCACTGTTTTACACTTTAAATTTGATTATATAATTATCAAGTTGCGAAAAAAATGTAAATTGTGTGAAAATTAACCTTGTGAATAAAGAAGGAATTCCTCAGTTACGGGAAAAGCCATAGTTGTCGGACCGAACAAATAAAGCTCTTTCATAATGATATGGCATATCTGAAAATTGAACATAAGGAGCTATTTCTATCAAAGAAAAATGATACAATTTTAAATTGCGTTATATTTGATGTTCGTTGAAAAAAGGTTATATTGTATAAAGAATATCCTCTGACTTGCACCATTACTATCTAGGATGTGACATGTTAGGATATTAGAATATTAGAAACATGAACTATTTCAACCTCATCGCTACTGAGTGGTTTAGCCGATGTCTCGTTGATGAAGCCAATAATTGTAGGTACGCGAAAACGGTTTTTACCTTCAGTGTCCAAACTCATGGTTCGTGGATACATCGAATAAGCCAGTGATGCTGAAAAATGAAAAGGGATCATAATCTTCGTGACGAATCATAACTTTTACTATTATTATTTTTATTATTTTTATTAAAAGCCTTTTTAAATTTCCATAATTTAATCCGAAGATTTCATTTCATGTTTTATAATTCACCTCAATAAAATGAAAATATTCACCATAATGTTTGTCATCATTATAATTATTATGATAATAGTTATTCTGACACTTCCTTTCGCACCGTCGTTTTTCTTCACTTATTGGATATACTGCTGGTGAACATGGCGTACCACAGTCAAGAGCAAATGAATACGGCCGACAGCCATCACGGCCACCTTAAAAAACACAAAAAATAAAAATGATACAAGAGCCTCTTTGAGAGCATAAGATAAGCATAAGTGTAACAGTAGATAATGAAAGCATCCCCACCAACGATAGTAAAAACAGGGATTTGTGATAAGACGAGAGTGATGACAAGGAACATTTATATGATGACAAAATTATATCGACTTGGAATAGATAGGTTCTCGATAAAAAAAACTGTTTGAACAGGAATAAATTATATAATATAACAGAATAGATCGAATTGATTCAACTGCAAGAATTTATAAATAGAAATCATTACCACTTACCAGTAGTAAACCCGTTACGAACCCAATAGACCATCGCCTTAAGTGGATCACCACCATAGCAATTTCCACATATTTCACAGCAACCCAGGATATCTTCTTCGCTGAACAATATCTGCAAGCCACCATTCGAGCTAATGCATGCACGATCAGACGCTACACCAGCTGCAGCTACTGCCTGAAATCTTCCAGATAAGGCCAAATTCATTCTTTATAAAATCTATCTACAGTTCCCTTTTCTCATCGTATCAGCCGTAAAACTTTCAAACCGCGAATAGACAGCCAAAGCCAACAAAAAGTAGGCTAATCAATGTTTATTTTTGAGAGAATTGCAATGCAGTTAGTTACATAGCACGATCCACACGATCCTTGATTCGGAACATTACTTATAGATGAACAATTCGGCCAATGTAAACGAGCATCAAAATTTTTCGGCAACATTTCGCTAGGAAAATCCATCAATTTGCTGAAAAATGAAAATAATGGCAGCGATTTCGATTGATCCATTTGACTGAAAACAAAAAATATAAATATATTACCTGATATGTGATTTCATAGCATTTGAATTGAAAAATTCCTTAAGATAATCGGTGTATTCCTCTATGGCTGTCGAATTCTTTTCTGTTATACGATTATAATCCTTTGGACGCGTAGCAAAAGGATTAAATTTGGCCTGAAAGTATTATTAACTCATAGAATCACCCTAAGCATTGGCAAATATAAGCCATTTAAATTATGTTTAGCTTAAGAGAAGTGATCGATGAACATAAGTGAATTAATTTGGCATATTTTATAGATCTTAGTTTTCCATGAATTTTTAGGAAAAGAATTAAAACTATTTCTCCTTTTTCCTAAGATGTAATATCGAGAAAAATTGTCTAATTGAAATGCGAAATCCATAAAATCCACCGATTAATAGAAGTTTTTTCAGGAATTATCTATAAGGAAAGAAAGGAAATTTCTTTAGCTGAGCTCACCGTCCATCTTATTCCTTCAGCTGCATTTATACGCTCGACTAATGCTTTAAAATAGGAATTTGTTTCGCTATTTTCACCAAATTTCACATCTCCTTTCGAATAAATCGACAACGAAATGGCAGCAATCGTTGCAACTGAAATCTCATTCACCAATTTCTTTATTTTTTAGTGGTTGTTGCTCAGATTAGAGCGCCCGCATGCTGAGGTTCTATTCCCCGTTGGAATAAACTTGTTGGAAGAATTCGAGTGATGCTGACGACTCACATCTACCACTATCGACAACCAAGAGATTTTACGGAAAAAAAACCAATTTTTATCATTTTTTTTATCAACGATTTTATTAAAATTGGATAGATCCACAGAAAACAATTAACCATTTTTCAAATAACTGAATAAATAAATAAATCATAAAAAATGAAAAAATCTTCGCTAAGAAAATTGTGTACTGTTTGCGATTAAGCGATTCAATCGGTCATACAAATTTTCGTCTGGCGAAAAGCTCAAATATTATAGAACAAACCAAAAAGCATTCCCAGTAATCCAAGAAGAAAATAGTAATAACATTTCTTTTCAGGTAACGAACTGGCCATTGCGTGATTTTTGCGTTTCATTTTCGATGAAAATTGCTGGCGGATCTACAAAAAGCTTCTCATCGATAAAATTAATACTAAAAAATGGATGGATTAATTTGCAAAAATCAACAATTTCTATTATTCGAACAATTATTATAAGTTATCGAACCAACAAATTCCAATTCCGATTTTCCTATTTCAAATTTTCAGTAATTCGAGCTAATTCAACAATTTGCGTAGCAATAATAAGGAGAAATTGGCTTAGCTAATGAAAAAACAACCATAAGTTCCAATTTATAGGTTATATTTATAGGAGAGAGTGGTTTATATATAAATATTTGGTAAAATCAAACACTGAATACTCAACGATTGATGAATTTTTTAGGATAGCGAAAATCTGATAATATCAGTAGTTATCTTTGAGGATTTCCTATGGCTCTGATAATATGCTGGGTAAACCAAAATTAACTATTTCGACCTCGAATGTATTATTTTCCAGGATAACGAAAATCCTTCTCAATTAAATTATCTGCTTTGCAGTTTCGTTTTGAATATTTTTGTAACTAAAATTTATTTCTCCTTCAAAATTTTGAATTTCAACTGAGCGTGCGAATATAAAACTCGAAATCAGCATTGCAATAAAATTTTAAACTGGAAAACTATGAAAGATCGGTGAGTTCTAGTTGAAGCAAAAATGCACAACTGACCTGTGGGCGGAATCGCATTCCTTCAGACATTTCCATTATTTTCAGTTCTTTCTTGCAACTAGTTTTTACTCTAATTCTGATAAATAGTGGTATTAAGTAGTATTTCTACTCCTCCAATTATTAATTTTTCCAAAAATTCCATTGAACGACGCAAAAAAATCTAATTATTTCGAAAATGAAATCTGATTAAGCCTCGGACAATTGCCGAGCAACAATTTCGAATGGTACTTCGTAACGCTGCTACAATCAAATGTATGCAATTTATGTATGTAAATTTCCATAACACATCGTTCTGCTTTAACAACTAAAGGAATTTTTTTTCAAATTTTCTTTTTCTCGAACAATAATGAAAATTCGTTTGAAAAAAAACTGGTTACCGAATCCTTTTAAAATCTGCCAACAATCAATCTTTTTTCATTCGATGGTCACCATTCGCTTATTTAATGTTAGTAATATAGTTGTGGATGACAATGCAAAACGATCACAATACAAATTTATATTTATATTTTCAATAAACCACAAACATTATGGAAGCTGTCACAGTAAACACAGAATAACAGAATGGCTATTGCACAACAATTACCACTGAGGGCCGCCTGGAGCCTAGAGTCTGACAAGAGTTATTAAAGTATCTTTAAAATGGATCTGGTAATAATGAGGACCCCGCTTATATTTCTATCTCCAAGTGGATCTCTGGTAAAAATTCCTCATATCGCTGACAGAAGAGTGAGATTAATCAGAAATGGTGAATGCAAATCACTTATTTATTTAACCACTACATTACTGATTGCGATATTACGAGTTCAAAAAATTTCGAATTAAGGTAAGCGATAATAACTCTAAAACGAATAAGAATCTGCTCCCATATTATTGAAACAAAAACCAAAGTTTTGCATTTTTCTCTAATTAACTCAAACTAAACCATAAGTTTTAAGCAAAAACTTTTAAAAAGATAAAATGTGATAAAAAATGGAAAAATCTACAATCTTTCGATTAACATTTACAACTTCTTATCGGTATTTAAAAAAAAAGTCTACGGATAAACCCGCAAAATTAATCGGTCATACGATCAAAAGGCATAAAAAGAAGAAAGAAATTTATCACTCGTTGATTCATATGTACAGATTCATAAAATACATACATCGTTATTTAAGATCATTGATCTCTACTGTTGGCAGAAGCAAGCACTGCCACAAAAGTGAAACTCGAAAGTTGCTGAGGTGTCTGCTTATCATAGAAATTCAAAAAATATCATATAGAAGTGAAGCAAAATATTTAAAAATAGGCATATAAATAATAAAATTCTATATGAATGATACAATGATACAACGCACTAGAACAGCAGAGGAGAACCCGCATATTTCAAAATCCATGAAATACCTTGTTGAATCGCAGAAAAAATCATAACGCTGCATAATTTTTTGCGAAAATCCTAAACATTTTCGAGGCGAAACCAAGGACTAAAAGAACTATTCCAAGTAATATCGTCAAATTCAAATTCAAATTTTTTCAGTAAATAAATCTATTAGCAATTATAATCGCTTAGTGTATAATCTTTTCTCCCTTTTTTCGTCATATTTAACCAAACTATAGGCTTATTTATCAAAAATATGAGAATTAATAAGCATATAAAAGAAAAGATATGCTAAGTTTAATCTGCTTCCACTGCAATTTTTTGTTGTCGCTCGACACGAACATGCTCTAAACAAATTTATTCTATCACTTTTAGAGACCTTTAAAAGATTGAAATCAAATAATATTTGATTTAAAACAATGAAGGTACCTCGTTTGGATTCTTTTATAGGTAAATCATTGGTTGGTACTTCAGGAAGCACGAATTTTTCAGATTCCAATAATAGTTGTAATTCATTCTCGACTCCTTCTAAGTCAGTTTCACTTAATTTACCACTCAGCAGATTACTAATTTCCTAAAATATATCGCGACTGATCAAAATTTAATAAAAAATAAAACAAAGAATTATCAAGAAATAAGTCAATATAAAATTACCACATATAAACTGGGCATCCACTGAAAAGAAAAAAAAATCAAACTTTTGACAAACCTCTTGATATTCAGCAGCTTCTGCAGTTTGTTCCAATATTTTTTCAATATCATCTAACGAGAACATCTTATAAACATTTTAAATATATTATCAGTAATTTAGATTTTTGAATAAGAATCCATAATCAGTAATAAAAATAATCTTGAGAAATTAATAATTGCCAGTGGTTTTGGAATAAAATAATTGGGTTTGGTTTGGGTTCTAGCGGACTAAAGCTCGCTTCATAGGGCAACAATATCATCGTATGATGAAAGCAAAAGGGAGAAAATAGCTCAATAGCTTGTTGCTCAGTTCGCTAAGATTTTATGCCCAGCAGGGTTAAAAAACTATCAATCCAATTTTAAGATCCGATAAGCCAACGAAGTGAACCTAATCAGTAATGCTGTTTGAAAAAAAATCACAATAAAGTTAAAAAAAAAAATTTCTAGAATGAAAAACTCACTTTATTAATCTGTTCCAAAGCTTCTTTACCCTTTCTTAATTCATCTACGACTCGCTTTTCTATTGCAGCAAATTCTAAATCATTAACCTAAAAACTTAAAAAAATTAGGAAAAAAACAGAAAAAAAAGTTTAAGATAAGGAAAGCATATGAAAAGTATCTATCCCCAATAAATTTTTTTTTCCACAAAACAAAAAAGGAACTCAAATTTTCAATACTAATTTATCTGTTTGATTAATGCAATAAGGCGTTTACAATTTCCATTATTTATTTTTAAGAAATTTGCAGAAAAAATAAACTTTCAGCAAACATTAAGGAAAATGGAACATACCATCATATCAATCTGGTCAAGCTGTTTAAGCGTACGCTCAATTATATTCTCTTGATAACGTTTCTTTTTTAATAAAAGAAGTGCTCGGCTGAAAATTTATAGAATTGATCTCTCCATAGTAAAACAAACCGTTAAAAAATGGAATGTGGATTGCGCATCTATCATGTGCCTCCATCATGAAATGACTTCGTACTTCCATACCTCCAAGTGACTAAAGGATAAATGCTGGAAGGGTTAATAAATGTGCAAACCATAAAGGCTATTTAATTTAATTAATTAAGGATAATATTTCAATGAACTAACTCTTTTTTTCCCATTTTAATTAGTTTTTTCGCGATTTCTTTTTCTCTTTCCATTTGTTTTTCGTTTCGTCTAACATATTGTTTCATTCTGTCGCGCTGAGTTTTCAATTGCTTTAAAATTATATGAAAAATTATTTTAAAAATATTTAAGAAAGAATTAAAAAAGAATTAAAAAAAGAATTAAAAATTAAAAAATTAAATTAAAAAGAATCAAAATAATAAAAAAAATTACAAAAAAATATATTAATAACTATTATAGTTGATTTCCAAAAAAAAAACGAAGAAAGCAAACTAATAAATAAACTAACCAAAACGGCAAGGTCATGTTGTGAAACTTCAGGAACTTTAGATGCGCGATGCCTTCCAAAAATATTTCCCATAATATGCCTGGGAATGACCTATCCAGTTAATCCAAATTCTAGAAGGAATGAAAAAATATTTCTACTGGAGGAACTAGTTAAGCTCCACATTTCAAAAATTAAATAAGAATCAAAAAAAATTTCGTCATTAATCACCGCCTCAACCATCATCTGACAGAATATGTTCTGATAATGTTCATCAATTTTAACCTTTGCATAAGCTTCGGGCACTTAATTAATTATCTATCTATCATTTCAATATTCAATACTTATCAGTACTTAAATCAAATATTAAATATTTTCAATAAAAATATATCAAAATGAATGAGATACAAATGAGAAGAATCTCTACGTTTCAAAAACAACATTTGTTGAAACTAAAATTTTATTGGTTCAAAATATAAATAAAAATAAGTATGCTAGGGATTTTTTATCCTTCTTATCACAAAATAAGAGTGGGTTCTGCCTTTCTTTTTTTGCCAGTACCCATTCATGATGTAATGTCAATATTTTCTCCAATATTTTTTCCTACTTTATCAAAAATATGGGAATGAAAAATATAAATAATATACAAATAAAAAATGATTACAAATTTTTGAGATCTAGCACTCGACTTAATTCCCATCTTTTCATTCACAGATATGTGTTTTTCAAAATCAGAACATGTTGTTGCAGAAATATATCGAGTAACAATCATTAAGCGACATAATCAAGAGGCCTATTAAATCCACCTTTTCTATTCATGTACTGACGATATCTGCGTGGTTTATTGATCAAAACAGCACCCTCTGAGTTACCAATCACCTTCAAATTGAAAAGGGAAAAATAAAATAATGAAAATTTACTCGAATCCATCATATTTCGACGTCAAAGTGAGCAATAGAAATCTAAATAAATAACTTACTTTTTTATTTTTAGTAGTATTGAAACCCGCAAACCCCATAATTTTCATCATTTCTTTATCTACGCCTTTTAAAGATTCAGATTCGATAGCTAAATAAAAAATTGACTGTTCAGAAAATTAACTTTTTTTATTAACTGTTTAGAAAATTAAGCTATATATAAAAGTGAATTTTTATATTTTAAAACAATAAAACAATCATACCACTCGATATGAAGCAAACCGTAGTTTCTTAAAGTATAAATAGTCTGAGGCAAAAAATAGCAAATTTTTCCCTCTAAATATTCACATTCTTTGGAAAATATATTTCGCAAAAAAATAATCTCATAAAAACCAGAAAAAACCAGCAAGTTCAAATTATTGACACAAAAGTTTATTTGACGTTCAAAATTTTATTAGATAAAAAATTTTTATGACAATAAAAATATACAAAATATATCTGTACCTAACCTTCATTCTTCTGTTTATCTTTCCGGGGTTTCTTTTCATGTTTTCGCCCATCGCGATCCCTAAAATCAGCAAAAAAAAACCATAAGAAGATTTTGAGGACATCGCAAATAAAATTTGATTACCTCCAACCCACCCATGGGATATGCTTAAAAATTCATTAAACCAAGCAAATATAAAAACCGGAATGTAAAGCAATAAAGTGGAAATTAATATTAAAAAATCCTTTCGTTATTTAAAAATTAAACCTTTTATCTCTATCTTCACGAAATCGTCGTTCACGACTTTTACTCCGACTACGATTTCTCTCCAAAGGACTTCGCGAACGACGTCGTTCCTGCAAAAAACAATAATAATTCTAAATTTTAAATATTTTATAACGGCTATACCACCGAATCCATTAAAAATAAGAATGAAAAGTTTGCCTCTAAGATAAAATCAATTGCCTATCGAATAAAAATTGATAAAAGGTCATCAGAAATTTTTATTTGTTTCAAAAATCTTCTGTAAGGAACCATAAAGAATGAAGTAAATAAATTTACTCGACTCCTTCGCCTTAATCGGTCGATATCACGTTCGCGATCTCGGTCAATCCCACGCATTCGTCCTGCTGAACGTGAACGAGATTTCCGTCGGCGATCGCGATCTATAAAAGTCAATTCGGTGCAGATTCGACTTTCAAAGCACCAATCTATCATTAAAGCGAAACCAGAATGGTGAAAAGGAAGGAAAAAATTTATGCTTATTTTCTCAAAAGCTGACGCAATTTCTTTGGGAAAAATTTAGTGAAATTTATGTTTCAATGAAATTTATAATGAATCTGGCGACAATATGAAAATTTATAATAATAATTTTAAATATTAAAAAATTTTTAATATCTTAAATTGATGAATAATTCAAAGATGAAACCTCGGCTGCGACTTCGTTCACGCATAATTTACGATAAATGAAACTAGTCTGTTGGCCTGAAATGAATGAATTTTAAAAACGACCGATGATTGCTGATTACCGATGAAGGTCGACAATTCCTCGCGCAGTCTGTGATTAATAAAACGATGGATTCCGCGGTTCTTCCGCCGGCACTTTTCTCCGCGTTTCGGCGGTTTTACCCCAATAATCCAAGCATAAAGTTTTCCATTCAATTATACGCATTTGCGGAGAGAAATGAAAAACACAAATTTAAAAAATAGTTCAATTCATTCAAAGATGAAATTAATAAAGTTTGGAACGAAATATTTCAATAATTATAACTTCTGATTTAATGGAAAAAATATTTTCAAAAGCATATTTTTCAAGCGTCAAAGATCATATAAAGAAAATTTCTAATTTTAAAAATAAAAATATTTCTTTAAAAACATCTGTTAACTTCATTTAACTCAACATTTATCACGCAATATTCACAAAAAGACAAATAATTTAACTTTATCTTTCGGAATCTGCTCCGAACGTTAGCGATGAGTTCGTTTTCCGGCCGATGAGTAGTATTCGAAATTTTTTGTCTCCATACAAGAATAAAGTAGTTTTATGGTTTCAGTAAATTTCTATGGAATTTTCAAGTCAAGTCTAATTTGGATTTTAAGCATGACTGTTCCTTGATCGCTTCGGCCTTATTTGCCATAGCTGGCCGGATGGTACTCTGACCTGGACATCGCCGATCCTTGGCAAGTTAAGGTGACTCTTTGAGACTGAAACTTGAATCCAGCTGGATTTAGAAAGTAATAAATAATGAAAAGTGATAATGGAAATGGTAAGTAATTATTAATTGTCTCGCAAGCTTAATTTTTTCTTGAATTGATGCGATTAATCGAAATATTGAACTAAATATTAAATTCATTTCATTTTATCCCTAAAACTTTTGACCTTTACAATTACCTTTGACCTTTTTTCATTAGAAATTCTGCCATAAATATTAATAAAAATGAAAAGCTGGAAAATGTCTGAATCTGGAAAAATTTTAGAAATTTTAGAAAATTATAGCATATGCGTTATTCATTTGAAATGATAATGAAAGGCTAATCTGGCCTAAACGCCTTTTCACGAAGTCTTAACACTCTCACACAAACACAGTTTTCCTTAGTCAAATCTTTTGCATTAAAACACAGTTTGTCTTCATCCTCTGCACCATCTTCTGTGGACTTTTTTCTAGGAACCAGTTTTCAGAGTTTCTTTTCTTATTAGCTTTGAGTTTTATCAGCCGAGAAGGCACATTGCTATTACTACCTTTTTTATCATATTATCTTTATCGAGATCACTGATAATTCCATCGAGTTCTGCTAATACAGTCGTTGCATGAATAACTGTTATTACTAGTAATAAAAATAAGTACCAGCAACATTTTTGTTTATGATGTGAGCAGTAAAATATATATTTAATAATTATTTATATGCGTTTCGAGCGAATAATTAAGTTTCACAATAAAATATCAAAGAATTTTTTTCTCCTTTTATGCATTAATATATATGAAATATGATGGAAATATTAATTGTTAAATATTGGATATATTATGTTATGTTTAAAATACAGTAAAACTATGGATCATCTCATAATTATGTGGAAAATGTCCTGCGAATCTCAAAATTGTGTGGAAATTATTCTATGGATTTCAGAATTGCGCAGAAAATGAATGGTGGGACAGAAAGTAAGGGGAAAGAAATGTTAAAGAAGGGAATTAACAATTAAGGGAATTAACAAAAATTTGAATTTGCATTAAATGAAAATTCTGAATTTGAAAAATTTAGATTCCAAATTAAATAAATAAATGAATAAATAATTGTTTCGAATCTAAAATGTCTAAACGAATTTTTCCAGAATTTATTTTAAATTTTCTAAAGTTTATTCGCAAATTTTAAATTTAATAATTTTTTTACTTTAATAATTTTTATTTTAAAATTGAATTTTTAAATTTTTTTAAATTTATTTTATTTTTATATTCTTATCGTTGGATTTCTTGCGCTACTACAAAAAATTTATATTTCAGGTAAATATCAGTAATTTAGAAAGTCAGTGCAATAATTGAAAAAAAGAATTATTTAACCATTCTTCTTACATATTATATAAATTAATTCTTCTTATATATTATATTATATATTTCTTATATAAATTATATAAGCAGAACTCTGAATACTTCGATAAATTGAAGGTGTGTTTTCTTTCTGTTCATTTTTCTACGTAGAAAACGAAAAGTATTATTTCAGCAGTTGGATAGTACAATGCAATCAAAAGTTCAAAAGTTGTTCATATCGGCGATCAATTATAAAATGTACATATTCCACGAGCCAGAACAAATGAAGCATTGATGAAACATTTTAATGAATTTCTTGCTGATCAACTTCTTAATTCCGATATTTTTACTGATCCTGATCGAGTATGTTAATTGTCATTTATTTATTTTATATTCTCTTCGATATAGTTCTTTTTCTACTCCTTTCCAGCCTTTTTTCTTGATTCTATTGGTCATTGGGATAAGGCATTTTCGACTTTCGAGTTTCCAACGCTTGCTTCATATTGAAAACTGATATTTGTAAAAATTGCTTATTGCTTTTTTTTTGCTTGTCTGCTTTTACAATAATTTATTTTATTTTTGAGATTAGCTAATTAGATTATAATTAGATTAGCCAAAAAATAGTTTTGATTCTCTTAAGTTTCGATCTTTGTCAAATTATGAATGAAGAAGAAAAAACAAACACTCTATGGGCTAAAAAGATTCAGTTATAAATTAAATTTAAATTAAATACAATTGAATTAATATTAATAGTTTGTAGCTACTGGATTCAGTATTAATCATTGAAAAATTTTCATCTATAGTGCAGTACATATTGCCCACAAATATGATGAAATAGAGAAATTAATGATTGAGCACTTCGTTCCTGCTCATAAAGTAGGAAATTGAAAACGAATGCTTGAGATTTCCGTCATTCCGTCTTTCTGAATTTAAGGTTTCTTTGTTTTTCTTTAAATCTTCGACTATATTTTCAAGTTTGAATTAGATATTGCAATTTTATTTTTGCGAAAATTGGCCATAGCCAGTGGCCAAATTTTATTATCTTATTACTAATAATAGCATTATATTTGTGCTTAATAAAATAAAAATGAATATTTTTGATAATAATTTACTTATTTTAGGGTTATTCACAATGTTTGGATGCATTTATTAAAAATATAGAAGTAAATGCCTTTCGCTCAGAAAATATTTTTGATGAAATATGTTCTTTCGCTAAAACTCTCCATTATTGAATGGCATTTTTCCAAATCCTCAACAAATAATGGCGAAATTTATTCTTAATATTTTTCATGGTGAATTGCAGGTTTGTATTATTATTTTATTTAAAAAAGCATTGCTTCGCTTTTTTTCTTCGATTACGATTAAATAAAAGTTAATATATTTATAATATTATATATTTTATAAAAATATATTTATAAAAAATTACAAAAATAACAATAGAAGCTTCATTCGAATAGGATATGTACCACATAATAAAAATATTTAAAATAAATATTTAAAATATTTAAAATAATAAGTTTGCAAGTATTCGAATAATATAAATATCACTTGCATTTACATTTGCGATCGCAATTCCCGAGGCAAGTAGCAATCGATATACCTTGGGGTATTTTTCGTTGGATATTTAAGCGACATTTGAATTTACCCATAATACTTTTATACCTTTTGCACGAGGATAAGCTGTTACTCTTCAGCATTTTCCAATCTAAATTTATATTTTGTGTATACAATTAGTATTGAATATTTAATACTTAAAAAAAAATTTCTAGAAAATTTCTTGTTATTTTTGAAAGTATTCTACGAAGATATATGATTTGTGATTATTTTATAGGAAACTGTCAATACAAAATTAAAATTAAAAGAAACATCGCAAAATCTTGAAAAAAATCTAAATGCGCTATATGGTTTGTATTCACGGCAAGTATTTTGATTCTTAGTTCTACTATTTTTTTAAAATTTTTTTACTATTTTCATTTTTTTAAATGTTTTTTCCCTTGAATTATAATTTATAAATTTAATTCTTTTTCAATTTTTCTGATTTATGAAAAAGGTTGCAGAATACAGAAGTTGGCTGATAACCTATATTCTGTTGGTCCATCTGATCCTCGTTTTCTGCCAACATTAATTCGATCTATCTTTGGTAAGTACATGGAAACTTCTCCAAACTTATCCAACTTATCGTTTTTTTTAAAATTATTTTTCATCATATTTTTCATTTTTCGTTTTTAGCTTTTTCGTCATTATTTATATTTATATATATTATATATATTTATATATATTACAGAAGTGAAAATCAACCGAAAGTGGCGAAAGTGGAAATAAATTCGGGCCGACTTCTAATAACACGTACGCAGCATAACTCTTCCTCAGGCAGACGTTTAGAGAAGTCAGGCAAAGATCAACCCTCTGCCCGCCGCTAGTGCTATAGAAACTCGCAAACGAACACTCCTGCTCATTCAGGATTTGGGTATGGTGAGGGAAGGTGGAGGACCAGGGAAAGGAAGGGAAAGGGCCAAGAATATGGGAGGAAATCGGATGCTAAGAGATTTTGGGCAGGGACGTTAACGACGTGGCTTTCATCGGCTTCATTATCTTGTTATTCGGAATTATGCGCTTTTTGTGATGGCTTTATCTTCGCATAAAAGTGCTAGAGTATGTTTTCATTATTTCATTATGTTATATATTATGTATCATAATATTAGGTATTTCACAGTGATTTTAGCATTGATATTTATTTATACTTTACAAATACCTTTCATAAAAATTCCGGACACGGAAATAGCTGCATTACGTTGTGATATGAGTTGATGAATAATCGTTTTAACGCATGTGGATTGAAGCGCACTTTTTCTCATCGACGTTGTTCTCGTCGTTGTTGTTGTTGCTTTCGTCATCATTGTTATTATGGGATAACTGGAATTTATCATCATTTT